GAGCCGCGGCCGTGCTGAGCGGCAATTTATGAAGTATCGGCAAATAAGATCGTTTATAAAACGCGCGTGACTCGAAACATGACGTTCGGGATTGTTCGGAGTGTAGTCGCCGGGGAAAGGTATCGTAATTGATTGTTGTGAATTGAAATTGATAAGAATGGGAGAGAAGAAAGCAGTCGCGAGGGAGGAATCAGGAAGAGTCGTGAGGATACACTTATCGGGGTTGGAAAAAGGATTTGGCCTTCGATAATCGCGCTATTAGAGGAAATAAATTAATCTATAATGGCTGTACTGAAATAGAGAGTTACGTGCGCGAGACGCGGGTATGGTGTGTTTTGGCGTCTGGTGGCGTAATAGACAGATATTATTTGTATTTTATGCACACATTAGGGATGTATTTTTTTTTCTTTTTTTTTTAGATGCAGTAATTTCTACAGACGGAGTACATGTGTTTATTATTATGGCTGCAACATGTGAAAGTAAAATGTTTTTCGTATATTTTTCACTGCCACGAGATAAATTCATTGAATATTATAGTGCAATGAGTTAGATATTATAACCTTGTATTTTTTTTACTACTAAAACAGATTACATAAATTCGTACGAAATATCTGAAAAAAACCCATAATAGCCAGCCTTTCATAAAATATTTGATAGTTGTTACTTCTTAGTTGCTCCTAAATACAGTTAATTTTCACTGTTAACACAATAAATTGTGAGAATTCGTATTATACGCTAACACTGAATGTTATTTTGCACTTTTTATAAGATAAATAACACAAACTTTCAGTTTAAAGTGAAATTTTAGTGAAAAAGAAAAAAAAAAAAAATTGAGTTTAAATTAAATCTTCTGAAAAAAAAAAAAAATTTGACGGTTTTGTATCATTTTACCGGAAGTTTTTATGTGCAATAGTAAGTTACGCAAAATTTCATCGATAGGATGTTTAAATATACGCCTAAGATTATATTAAATTCAAAATAGTATTCATTTTGGTTATTACATGGATATGCTAAGAACATGGAAAAATATATTAAAATTGCAATATTTTCTAAACGGCGCGGACAAGTTTTTTTATTTAACAAAATCATATTTGTATGGTCATACGACATGAAATGTCAGTTTTTGAAAAAGGGGATGTACGATTATACTCGAATCGAATAAAATGTGTTTTAACCCCGATGGCTTATCTAGAACTTTAACCGTCGATTAACAATAGACAAAGAAATACATGTTTAAAATTTCGAGACATTCCGTCGTCTCCTTATATTTCGTCACTACTACCTTGTAGGGTAACAAAGAAATTTTTATTCAAATCCAAAAAGGAACGTAGTGATTAAGATAACGTGTAATTAAGAATTATATTTAATTAACAGATTCACACAACTTTATATCGTTAAGAAATAGATATTGAGCGTTGGAAAGTTACCCAAATCTGTTATAAAAAGGGTAAGGCCTAGTGAACTGGTAAAGACAGTCAGAAAAAATTTCAACGAAAGTAGTTTTAACTGACCTGATGTCAAAATAGTAACTTTGTTAATAATTTTTAAGAAAAAAGAACTTATTTAAATAAGTATTGACTTGGTACTGTCATCAACTTTTTTAATTTTTTACAATAAAAAAAAAAACCTCGGACACTTTTCTCTATTTTTTGGCTGAAAAACTTTTTAAGTGTTGTAAAACCCTGAAAACTATAATAGTTTTGTTAGCCTTAAAAAATGTGAAGTATTGGTTTCACTACCATTAAAAATAATTTAATATTATAAAAATAACTCAATTATATTAAAGCTGATTATTATACAAAAAAAATTATTTTTTGACAAAGAAAACGGTCAACTTTTTTTACAGAGCTGAAAAACTAATGTTAGTTGAAAATTACAATTCCATTACTATATGTTTTATTTGTTGTAGCTCAACTTTTTTTGCAGTTTGTTGAAGATTTTCAAATTTAATCTAAAACTATACTTGATGTAAGAGAATCTAAAATAAATTTTGTTATCCATGCATAAAATTGTTATTTCAAAACATGGTTTTTTAGAATCATAAATTATAAGTCTGCTGAGCTATTTGTAAGAAACTAAAAATATTTCCAGAGTACCTGCATGCAGTCCCTTTGAGTTACAACAGCTGTAAGTCCGTGAACAAGTTTAACATCTAATAAGTTAAAAACATTTCCGTCAAAACTTGTTGAAAGACCCGTTTTATTACTTTCTTTGGCTGTATTCTTTAAACAAAGAATTAAGAAACTACGAAAAAAAAACCTATAGATACCTTTATAGATTTGCGTGTCACGCAAATTAAGCCTTTTTATTTGTTTTGTAATTGCTGAAGACTGATCATATAGTTTATAGAAATAACTAGATAAAAATTTTGTATTAATTTAGTTAATTAAAAATTTAATTAGAAAAATTTAATAGTTAATGACAGCACGAAAATTGCATAGGTTAAAAGGGATTAACATTTACAAAGATCAAAAAATAAAAAAAATAAACAAAATTTTAAATTATTTAGGTAGAGTGGAGTACACTTACTATATGATTGAACATTTAAAGTGAATATAAAATTAATAATGTAAATTACGCTAAGTGAGTGTAACACAACCACTTTAAAGAAAAAGATGATGCTTAAAAAAAATATTGCAATAGAAAAGTAATAATAGATTTATTTTTTAAATTTTACCCTAATGCACTTTGTGAAAACAGTTTTTTAATTAAATTTAAAGATTTTTTTGAAAAAACAATGTTATTGTTTGGCATATAATTTCTACATTCTTATACTTAATTTTTTTTATCTCTTTTATCTATTTTTATTTTTTTTATTTTATTTATTCATAACTAGAGTATACAAAATATACACAGCAATAGAAACATAAAAATTTCCTTGCAAACGTGCAGAGGTATATCCAAATACCCGTTCGCAGGCTAGATTACCTTAAGTTTAATTACAACGTATAAAAAAAATAAATAAATAACAACCTTATAACATAATTACTATAAACTAAAGTGCCAGTTTGGCTAAAATTCAAACAGCAAAATAATATCCTCTTTATAAAAGTAAACGAAAAATTTCCTATAACATTATTATTAGTGATCACACTCCTGTTCAAGATAAAATTAGAATATTTATGAAAGCTTATTAGTGCATATCCATTTTTTTTATTTTATCTAGATTTTTTTCGTAATATCTAATAGTTTGAGATCTTTTGTTAATTCATTAAATAATTTTATAGCACATATATAACTAATCTTAAAATTCACAGTTTTTATTATAATTGTATTAGGTAATTGTATTAGTTTAGTATTATTGTAGAATCAAATAAATTCAAAACCAAAGAGTTGTTTTACAAATAAAGGTTTGTCCGTTAAATGCCTACTTTTATTTACAATATTTCCGAATATGTTTTGTATTATTTGTAGGACATTGATACGGGTAATATATGCACTACCCCAAGCACTTACACCATAGCTTATTATGCTGTGAAAGTAAGCATAATATATAATTTTTAGTGTATCAAAATTTATGCATTTAGAGATTGTATAAAATACAAATACGAAATACTTAGTTTTTATATAATGTTTTCAACGAGTTTGTCCCATTTTGCGTTAAAATCAAAGATTAATCCCAAATACTTGCAATATTCAACCCTTTTTGTTTTTTTTTATCCCTAATGGTAATATTCAGTGTCCGTGGTACGCTATTACAGTAGTTTCCAAATGTCATGAATATTTTTTTATCTATAGTAAGTCAAAGTTTATTTAGAGCCAGCCAATCGATTGTTTGTACCAAATATTTGTTCATATTACTTTTGACTTCACTCCAAGAGTCTTTAACAAAAATAATTGCAGTATCGTCAGCGTGAGAATTTAGTTTTGTATTTTATTTAGTATTTGAAGTTTGTAGATTACATAATGTAAAACGATTTCTTAAAAAATCAGAAGCTTCACCTATCTAGCTTAGAAAAAAAAAAAAAAAACAATTTTTCACACGAGCTTCTAACTTTTCTTATCCTTTTTTCGTAATACTATCTAAGTAAAAAACTGTGTTCCCTTTTGAAAGTGCTCTGCCACTCTCCAAAATAATATACAAATCTGTAATACAATAATTCGTAATTAAAATATGTTAAATAATAATGTTAGAAACATTACCTGTAACACAAGCACAATGATCGCATGAAACTATAAAAAACTTAAAGTAGTATTCATGTTGGCTATTGTATAGATAATATACTAAAATCAGGCAATACCTTCACTTTCGTTAGATTTAGGTAATTTTTAAAAAATTTATCAACTACAATAGTGTATAATTTTGAATCTCACATAATTTTTCATCTGTACACTATTTTTCAACCTAACAAGTATTGTTATTGGATTTTTTATGTGCACCTATCTCTCGATGAAAAATCCATTGTAAAAAAAAAAGGAAACTCTTCTAATAAAAAAAATTAAAAAACTTTTAAGGTACATTTTTCTTCAGCCCCGTATAGCCTGACAATTTTTCGTAGAATATCTCGTATACAAAAGCTGTTACGGTATTCCTTGGTGTACAGTATCATGGTGCTCTGGCCATCCAATTTCTGTCTTAAAAACATCTTGTGACGCTTTTGAAACGTCAATTGGACGGTTTTGAGACACAACAGCGCTGCTACATCGATACTGCAACATAAAATGTACAGTGGAAAAAGCGACTGTGCATACACTATGACAACATAACAGCTGTCCCTGTACGCCAACGCCACGTGTTTCTCGCATATACGAGTCTTACGCGTATACGCTGCTATAGCATCTTTAAAGCTATACAGTGTACCGCCGTGTATTGTTGTCTCTGTCGTCGGACCGCGCATACAGCGGAGTTCCGGCTCCCTAGAGCCGCTCGCATTGGCCCACGTGTTCGTCGTGGACGATTCTGATTGGACGCTGGGCTCTGGTAGCGCCACGACTGTTCAATAACGCCGAGCAGCTATAGTATATGGGTATATACTACACCGCTTGGCTCAGTCTCGACGTAGAAATTGTACAATCCGCTAGTTTTTCGGAAAATAGTCGGTCTTTAGGAAAAGCGTGCTTTGCACGACGAGTGGTGAATATCCTCGACTTTTTTTATATGCTGTTGGTCACTTATTAGCCGCATTTGGCTGCATTAAACGAGCATACGCGTCAGCAGTTTCGATCGAATTGCCGTGGTACTTGGAGCAAGATGAAAGCCGTGTACATCGTAGCGGTTCTCTGTGTGCTAGCAGGTATGCGTTTTACTTTGCTCAACCAATCTTTACTCCACACAACTTTTTTTGCACTACACACCAACTCTTAATACGTTTTTGTTAGTGATTTATAATCTACTATTATTTATTGTCTACTTAACTCAAAATTTACAATTATTGTTGTAGGTTTGATATATGCAGAAGATTTACTGAATGAAAATGAAGTTTGTACCGGTGAAGATGAAAATTGCACGGGCCAAACGGCATCTGGTAAGTACTTTTTACTTCATTTAAATGTCCACATGCAATGATTCGAACAGGAGTGATAGTTGGCCGATGTTTTATGTTATCATATGTTATTTAGATGCCCAAAATACAGAGGATAGCCCAACTACATATCAATTCCAGGCTAAAGTCAGTCGTATGATGAAACTTATAATCAACTCCTTGTATCGAAATAAAGAGATTTTCTTGAGAGAACTGGTATCAAATGCATCTGATGCTCTTGATAAGATTCGTCTGCTAATGTTGACGGTAAAAAATGCCATTGATCAAGACGAGGAACTCTCCATTTGGATAAAAGCAGACAAAGAGAACAAAATATTGAGTATAACGGACAATGGTATTGGTATGACCAAACAAGACCTGATAAATAATTTGGGTACACTTGCAAAGTCCGGCACTGCAGAGTTTTTGGAAAAACTCCAGGACTCGAATTTCAAGGAAATGAATGATATGATTGGCCAATTCGGTGTGGGATTCTATTCGGCATTTCTTGTAGCTGATAAAGTAGCTGTCACATCGAAACACGATGATGATAAACAATATGTCTGGGAATCTGATAGTTCAAGTTTCAGTATTGTCGAAGATCCTAAAGGAAATACGCTCAAGAGAGGAACTACTGTTAGGTAATATGATTTTTAAGTACTATTTTATATTTGTACCTTTTTACATAGTATATTAACACTTTAGTTTACTAAACTAGTACGAAAAAAGTAAAAATTTCATAAGAAAGTATTTATTTACTTTCTCTTTTTGGATGCATAATTCCAACACAATGTTCTGAGAAACAAATCTTACTCGTTTTCGTAACAGATGGAATAGTTTTTATCAATAATTGAGTACGTTCCATGGTGATAGTAGCACGCTGTAGTTAGTTGTGTGTTATGTTGACTGTCTCTCCCGCACTTGCGCTCTAGAAAGCGGTAGGAATGTTCTGTCATGATACCACTTACTCCCATACAAAAAATGGTAACGTGATGGATCAGTCTGCCGCTCCCGAGAGCACTAACCCCGCACTATATACTCGAAGAGCCAGAGCCACATTCTATATACTTACTCTCCTCGTTTCATATTCTTTACTTCGTGTACGTAGACTGTATAACAGTGTATGTACGAGTATATATGATCAATTTCCCAGTGTTGGCTCTGCTTTTTAACTTATTTCTTATTTTAAATTTTTAATAAATGAACAATTCTTTGACCTCATCTTATAAGTGAACAAATTTTTATTTTTATGGGTTAATTTTAATAAGTGAAATATATAAGATAGAAGTTGATCGAAAATATGATTGTGTAATATGTTGATAGAACATTAACAAAATGTACGTATCAATTTTTTTGTAATAAGACTAATACTCAACTTTATCTTTCTTAAGCTCTTCTTATAGATTCCTTTAAGTTTCTGCTAAATCTCAGTATTTATTCTAACATCAGTTAATTAATTTAAAAGTACGATATTTTTTCATACAAATATCACTTTTCACTTGTACTTATATTATTTAGTACAGATTTTATTTTCAAATAAAAATAATTTCACTTTTGACTCAATAATTCGCCTATTTTTACATCTTCTGTGCTAATAGTACAACGTAAACAACAAACCATAACCAACGAACGAGACTTTCGAAACATAAGTGAAAATATTTCAGAAATCTCCATATTTGGAAGTTTACTAAACATAGAAACAAATGATCCAATTACTGGCCACTGGAATTTTTGACTGAGCTAAATTGTTCATTTCTCGATGTTTTTCGATGTAAATTAAAACAGTTTCATTTTATCTTGATCTGCAGCATCTTATACGATTAAAACGACGAACGTTGTTCTGTTATGTTACTTATTTATTTTTAAAATAACTATTTTAGTGTTGATATCACTTCCTTGTATTACTGCATATGGTTATAAAATCAGCATTAGTTACTGCACCCCCAATTACTGCTCGGGTATCTCCCATAAGGTTTTCTTGCTGAAGCCCAGACCCAATCACTGCGAACGACTTTAGTTTCATAGGTTAGATTCGTTGAAAGTGATTTAGTTAAACAATTATGAATGTCGAGATATACAGTGAGATTCTAGATCGAACGTTATTAATATATCTGAGCAGATGAATTTTCGAGTCTGTTTTTCTTATTTTGTATTACCGTAGAGTGCGCAGTTAACTGGTCATTTACCCCTGGCGTCGTTTTTTTTGAAAAAATGGAGAAGCTTCTATGTAATCTCGTCTGCAAGCACTGTTATATCACTGTGTAAAAGGTTGATAAAGCCTAGGAGAGCCTATATATGTATAGTTTACGCTTCAGATATGTCTCGATAACTCAACGTGTAATTTCTATTGTATATAAAAGGATTTCCTGTGCATTTTGACCTCTTATATACGAAGTTACATTTCAAACCATGAATTGTAATAAGCAGATATATAAAAAACAGTATCAGCAAAAATTAATATTTCTAGTATTTATAGCTCATTTTATGAACAAAAGTTTTCTCAAAAAAATACCTCGAGAAATACATAGTTATCCTAAAAAATGACAGTTATTTTATTTCACTTTGAGGATGCGTAAACTTTGATTCGAAAAGCTAAAGCTCACTTCTTACTTTTATGAGATAATGGACCCAGTAGTCGATAACCTAAGCGAAAGCGTCATGAAACTTCATTATCTTTGTGCTCGATATTTATCGTGTGGAATTAAATTAAAACAGTGCCAAATGCAGAAAAAATGGTGGTGCTGGAAAATGAAATTCATGCATTTCTCGAGGAGAATTTCTCTGTATTACTGCACAGGTGCACATGAGAAAAAAAAATTATGCTCAAATATTTGCATTAATCAAAAAATTGAAAAAAATTAAATGATTGATTTAGCTGGGAATGCATATCGTAGGGCAAGTCGTTTTTTTCCAACCATTATGTTAAAATTTTTTTTTTTTGTTAATATTACTTTCTTTAATACTGTTTTTACATACTTCCCATTTTTAAATGAAATTCTTTTACTAAAATAATTAAAATGTTATTTTTTTAATGCATTATCGACTATTGGTTTTATTTCGTAAATCAATAACTTTACTACTGATTGTATTCTTATACGATTAAAACGACGAACGTTGTTCTGTTATGTTACTTATTTATTTTTAAAATAACTATTTTAGTGTTGATATCACTTCCTTGTATTACTGCATATGGTTATAAAATCAGCATTAGTTACTGCACCCCCAATTACTGCTCGGGTATCTCCCATAAGGTTTTCTTGCTGAAGNCCTTAAAGTGGCCCACAGTACCCACGTAATTTTTTTTAGTTACACATGATTATGAGCCCAAAATCAATAACGTACTAAACAATAATGATAGTAAAAAATTTTTACACGGGTTTCGGAAAAAAATGAACAATTAAGTATTTGAAAATTCCAGATGTACTCAAATTTATGTTATATTTTTTTTGCTTGCAGTTTGATTTGTAAATTATTTATTTTCAAAAAAGTTTTGGGCAACTGGGAATTCTAAGAAGTGTCTCAAAATTCCTTGAGAAATATAGCCGTAAAGCATAAGAATAAATAGGCAATTCTATTCAAACTAAGGATGTAGTTTGATGATATGAATATTAAATACCGCGTTACTGCCCCCCCTCTAAGCCTTTTTTAAATTATTTAGATACTTACTGTTAACATAATGAGATTAAAAAATATTTTTATATAAAAATATGAGTTTGAACTATTTGTAAAAAATTTTATCTTTTTTCCGTGAAATAAGTAAAAAAAAAAATTACAATATATTGTATTTACTTTATTGCAGCTTATACCTAAAAGACGAAGCTACAGATTTTTTGGAGACAGATACACTAAAAAATCTCATAAAAAAATACTCTCAGTTTATAAATTTCCCAATTTATTTGTGGAATAGTAAGGTTATTGAGGTTGAAAAAGACGCCGAAGAAGAAGATAAGGTTGAGACAAACGAGGTAGAAAAACAAGAAGAACTAGACGAAGACGATGTTAAGATAGAAGAATCCACTGAACCGAAAGAAAAAAAAAAAGAAAAATCTAAAAAGACAGTGTGGGATTGGGAACTGTTGAATGACTTGAAGCCCATTTGGACATATAAACCATCAGAAATAAGTGACGAAAGGTACAATGAGTTCTACAGAAATCACACCAAGGATACTCAAGATCCTCTTATCAAATCTCATTTCCACGCCGAGGGAGAAGTTACATTTAAGTCATTACTGTTCATCCCTAAAATTCAACCAAGCGAAAGTTTCAATCGTTATGGTACAAAAACTGATAGCATCAAATTATATGTCAGAAGAGTATTTATTTCAGACACAATGAACGATCTACTTCCAAATTATCTGTCTTTCATCCAAGGTATTGTTGATAGTGATGACCTTCCCCTTAACGTTTCTCGTGAAAACTTGCAACAACACAAACTCTTGAAAATAATTAAGAAAAAATTGATCCGAAAAATTTTGGATACCTTAAGGAAACTTTCTAAAGAAGATCATATCGCATTTTGGAAAGAATACAGCACCAACATTAAGTTAGGAATCATTGAGGATTCTCAAAATCGCGCTAGATTGTCAAAGTTGTTGTTGTTCCACACTTCTGCTCACGATAATCTAACGACTCTAGCGGAATACGTTTCTCGCAAACAGCCAGATCAAAAGAGGATTTATTACGTAGCTGGTACATCTCTTGAAGAAGTGAAAAAATCTCCGTTCATTGAGAAATTAGTGTCGAAAGGATTTGAAGTATTGTACCTTATTGAAGCTGTTGATGAACACACCCTTTCATATCTGCCAGAGTTTGATGGAATCAAGATCCAAAATGCGGCCAAAGAAATCCCTGACTTGGATGATAGCAATAAGAAGGAATTGACCGAGACGTTCAAGCCACTCATTGATTTCTTTGAGGAATTGTTCAAAGAAAACGTCACCAAAGTTCAAATATCAGACCGCTTGACGAATTCCCCCTGTGCTCTAGTGGCTAATATGTTTGGATGGACTGGTAACATGGAAAGGCTGGCGATATCGAATGCGTTTAAGAAATCGGAAGATCCACAAAAAGCTCACTTCTTGAACCAGAAGAAAACCCTGGAAATAAACCCTGACCATCCCTTAATTAAGGAACTGTTGCACCAAGTTGAAAGCAATCGAGAGGATGATGTTTTAGAAAATATTTCATGGATGCTGTACAACACAGCTACTCTTAGGTCTGGTTACATATTGAGGGAACCATCAGATTTTGCAGATAGTACTGAAGAACTTATGCTGACAGTTTTGAGAATCCCATCTGACAAAATTCCACAAGATCATGAGGAACTTTGAGGAAATTAAGTTGCATGATTAAAAATCTTGTCATCATATTCTATAGAGTGCCAATTGTGCACACATCTCACGATATTTTTGTAATGTGATATTTGTTTCGATTGGAAACTCAGCATTTTACACCATAACCTAATATTAAATATTTGTATACATACACGCGACGACAACTGATTCTCAGACTCTCATTCAAAGGTTAAATCAATAAGGATATCGATTTTACTTGATACAGCTATCCAATAATTAAGTATTTTAATGCATAAACTTTAACTGCGAGCAAGAGAATCAATTTCCATCGTATTGGCTTGCGAACAATACCGTCAGCGTGAAACACCCGGGTAAAATTATAAAAATTGATGATTACCAAAAATGTCGAGAAAAGGCGATTCAACAACTATCGTCAACAGCCTCTATGACATTCCTCATGTCTTGAAAATAGTAGAAAAGATAGATTTTTCGGAACCCAATACGCACGTCCACCTATTTATGAAGCGGATGTGATCATAGAGAGATGGACTTGTAACTCATGGGTCTTAATTTCAATCATGTCATGAGTGTTAATGTACGTACGATAAGTTATGTAACTAAATAAATAAATGTACAACATATCCTCACTCACGCACTCTTAAAAATATATCGTGTTTAATTGAATTTGATGGAGATTTGGCTAGAAAAATCTGATAAAAATTTTAAAGGTGCCGATAAAATACGCACGATTTCATAAATTTGTACATGTATAAGTTTTTGATAGTTGTACGAATGTAAGTCATGTCAATCATACTGAACTGATTCTTGTAGTCAAATGTCCTTAAATATACAGTAAAATATAATATACGATATTTTTACGATACAAAAGAACTGATTTCTTCAAATGACTTCCTTTATAGACTCTGTAGTCTGAAATGTGATTAAAGTTTGATCATGGATCTTTTATCTTATTTAATATATACGAGCACGTGTAACGTACTTTTAAAATTGCTTTATATAACGAAATGTGCTTATTTTTTAAACTTGAGCAACGTTTTTTATGAACAGAAATATTATTTTTTTCTGATTTAAGCAGTGCTTCAAAAGTAAATATAAATTCATTGTGTCACAGCTTGCAATTGCATTAATAATACTATGAATCTGATCGAATTTTTCTCTTTAATCACCAATATAGTCTGATTCTTTTTGTTGGCCAACGATATTAATTTTCGATTTGCTCTGTGAGTGGATAAACTCATGTGACGTGGTATATATATCACGTGCAGTTACTATATTACTCACATTCCGATCAATTATCCGTTACCTTGTGTAGCGTAGATCTCAACTTATGTTGTAATCAAATACTATCCTTCGCCATCTCATCTAACTATTGATCGGAATTGGGTTAGTCCACTTATTGAGCAAATCGATTTCGTTGTCATATTTTAACTTTTTTTTCTAATTGAGTCAAGTTTAGAATAGCCGTACATATATGTTTCGTTTGTGTACCTCGTTACTTTCTTTTACATACTACTTGTATAAGAAACGATGGAAAGAAAAGAGTGTAATATAATTAAGTCATTGTAATATTTTAGCTCAAAACAGCTCCGTAATCTTCTAAAAAATGTTTAAGACTTGTTTTTTTTCTATATCAAAGTTCATGTAATCTATGATGCGCAACTTTCCACTAGCCTTTTTTTTACTTTTTCTGATTATATAGTTACGGCTAGCCATTGTGATTCATAAGAATTGAAAATTAAAAAAAAAAAAAAATACTTTGTAAGCCATCGAATATTTGTACGTCTGTATAAAAATTCCTTAGATTATTAAAAAACGTTACAAATATATTCACTAGAATATTTGTTATTTATTTACCTACCACATTTGCAAAAAATTATAAATATTGTAACCTAATCACATGAGGTATATTATAAGCTTGACAAACATCACTATGGACTACTTTTTGATGGACTGTCGAACTTTAGTAACACAAAATAAAAATGACCAACGTTTTTCAGTATAAAACATGTTCTTATTTATGTTGTGTCCATTTCTATTATTTTTTTTATTATTGTTGTTATTATTATTATTATTTTTCACGAATTCTGCCTTTACGTAAATTATTTTAAATTTTTAACACATACTTTTCGAATTTTAATAAAAACTTATTAGTACTATAATTATTAAGGTAACGTAAGAATTGACCTTGTAAAGCAATGGTTTGACTAAAAATAACAGTCGCATCAGATAAAAGCCATTCGCATTTCCTTTCTTGACTCATCCAGAAGTTACGGGTATGGATCTGCGTAAGAAGCTATGGATGGTAATGACATACCTAAGAGCTAAGCTATAGTAACCTTGATTTCCATGTTTGATGAAGCCATGATATACAGTATAGCTATGAAATGTAAATGGCTAAATGTACCGAAATCGACTGCTTCTCGCTCACAAAGTATGACTGATATATTTATTACAAGAAACAGATGTAAGTGTTATTTTAGCAAATATCCACTGTTTTTTCACGTAACAGTATCTTACTAACACATAATCTAATGAAACCTTCTACATTGAACTATAAAGACAATAAAATAATATTCACAACAATGTCATGTCAACATGCTGAATGAAATTGTACGAAGCTATTGATTTTTTTTTTCAGATTTAAAATTATTCTTTATACAATTTTTTTCATTCAACATCAGTAACGTTATCATTTGTCACTTGACCATAAAGAATAAATTTTCAAATTTTTAACGGCTATTTTGTGTGACTTGTACTTTGTATATTATTTTTAACGTTTTGTATGATTTTGTTGTAATTAAAAATTTTTAAATTAGTTTTTTAAAATAACTTCACTTTACAGCAAACACAAAAAAAACCTTAACTTTCGTTTTTAATTACCTTGAATTGTATTGTCATTTTGTTTTTTTAATGAATATCTGGTTTTATGTCCATGTAATTTGAAAATTGTTTGATAATTTGATAAATTTTTTCCTAGAAAATTTTTACAGCTAATGTTTGTAAAAAAAAAGGTAGTACAAAAAAATGTTCTCACGCTAAATTTTGGGTCTCCACTGTCCCTAGGCCACACTCTCAGTAAGTCTAATCGGTTTGAACAAATTTTATTAATTTACATAAATTTACTTTTGAGTAATGTAAGTTGTACAGATATTTTTTGAAAGTTTTTGGCACTGAACTAATCAGAAACGTTGGAAATTCTTATTAAATTCTAGATAAAAATTTGTGTTATTTTTATAAAAAATTTTAACAACAAAAAACATTGTTTTTCCATTGCCATAAATTTTTTTAGATTTTTAAAACTGGTGGAAATACAAAAAAATGAAAACTGTCATTTTTGAAATTATTGTGCATTACCGTTTTGACCGACTGTACTTACTGGGGGGTGGTCTTAGGACCTAAAGTTTGGCATAAAAATAATTTTTCATAGTACCTTTTATTCCACAAAGTTTAAGTGAAAAAATCGTTTTCACCTTCTCTTTTACCCCCCTTACCTGGTAGATCCTGTCTGGTTATTATTTTTATCTTACGTTGATTTGGATAACTTCTTAAAATAATGTACACTTAAAATTAATAAGAGGTATTGTTTATAGGACTGATATAACGAGTTATGAGCCCAGCTTACTCTTTAAAATTTTGACAGGTGTAAAAACTTTTTGTCATACCGTGGGCGAATTTCTGGAATATTTTATTCCTAAGTGCTTATACTGCTCATTATTTTTTAATAACACTAATATTTACATTTAATGTAGAGTTTGTACTTTTAATAAGTAGCTCAATTAATTTTTCCTATTATAAGGACTACATTAAGGTGATCTCTACATGTTTGGTATTGACACGATTTCGTATCACTAATTTGTCAAATTCAATAAAATATAAAAACGTTTCCATTCCTTGCATGGAAGTCAATCACCACATTGTCAAGTATTCTTTAAAAATGTAACCTGCAAGAACAAAAAAATACCAACAGTTTAATATATCTTAAGTTCACATTTTTTACGTTTAATCCCGAAAAACAACAAAAACAAATATTGCGGTGCACACAACGCACGCCAGAAAACATAAATGTGTATACGTACAAGCGAACAAGCAGCAACACGTACAGGTGGATTCTTTAATTTATTCCCAGTCACGAGCAAAACGCGATATCCACAAAGTACATACGTACTCTCATGCACGTATACACACACACAGATATCAGAATCGAGGCAGAGTAAAGCAAGATACGAGGACAGATATCAAAGAATAAGAGGAAGACGAAGAGTATAGATACACGCGGGGATACACATATTATCTGCGAGGACGAAGGTACATACTGTATACATATATATATAGCTACAGGCGCTCCGCTAACTCGCACACCGCACGCGTGTCCATTGAATTTCCGAGTTCGTAAAGCGGCCGGCCCCGCGTCGACAGTTCGAACGCGACTTAGGATAAGTAATCCCAGAGGGTCGTCGTCGTCGTGAAGAAAGAGACAGAGAGGGGGAGACCGATAAGTTTATAAACATACACACACGTGTATATAAGAGCGACGAAAGGGATCACGAGGGTCCAGATGACGCGGCTTATGGCACATATACATTTCTCTGCCGGCCATCACAGAGTGTCGTCCGGTCATTGTCGAGCCGAGGGAGCTATAAAGCGATCGCCGATCACGCCTATTTTTAGCCGATCGCCGATCTCAAGACGCGCGTATAAAGAGAACGGCTCTCTTTGCATTATGCACACGTATACACTATATGTATATGCAGGGGGAGAGCGATGCACGGCATGTGCATGCACACGAGAGAGAGAGAGAGAGTGCATGAAAGGGTTAATTCCTGAGAGGCTCGCTCGCTTCCTCGTGCCAATGGGTCTCGGTGCGCGGTTATTAGCGGCCGATTTATCCTCTGGCTTTCTCTCTCCTGTGTTTGTTGACTCCTTTATACACATCTACTCCAAAGTATTTCAACTATTCATTTGCGGCCTCTAGACGGAGTCGTGTTGTGCACTTTGTGGTATGTACAAGCGGACAACTGAATTAAGGAAACCAACAGTGCTGGGTTACGAATTTAGATGGTTACTGAATTAGGTATATGAATCGAATACTGTCAGTACAGTTCGTGTGTGTGTGGATGTCTCAGAGTTTTGTTGAACTGGAAGTTACACAAATGCGAAACAGATACACCAAGCAGGTTGTTTGATGCAAAAAATAAAAAAAACTTTTTTTTTGTACGAAATCACTGTAACTTTTATGAGCTAGAAGACAAATTGCAGTCATACTTAATTAATACTAAATTAGACTTAATTGACAAAAAATATAACTCATCGTGCAAAAATAATTACGTTTCAAATGAAAAGTCATACAGTAATTGTACGTACTTAAAATATACGGTTTTTTTTTAATTGTACGTGCATAGCCGTTGCGAGGAACCTTGTAGTACTTTTGAACTAAAAAAAAATTCCGCAGTATTTTAACCTGATGCAAAAATGGCCAAAAGTGGTTTTTCATATTGACTGGTAATATTACCTCCAGGATGAGGTTTTATGGTACAATAAAGTTGAATTTTTAGTACATCTCTACAACCATTTCCGATGGGTATAGACTTTCGGTTTAATAAGCTGTAAGAGTGATCAAAAGAAAGAAATTAATTTTTTTGATGCTAAGATTTACACTTAAGGTCATGCCCGAAAAATCTGGAAACCCTCATATTATTTTCTCTATTCACTCGTCAAGGTGGTACAGCTTTGCTTGAGCTATAACTATCCACCAATTGTTTACTCCATCCACCTGAACTTACTATTACTTTTTCTTTGGGTATAGAAAAAAACCAAAAAAGACTTAATTCGTGCACGTATAAAAAGAAAAATCAAGTAAACAAAACAAAGTTATTTCAATGGAAGAGCGAAAGCGAAACATCCTAACGTCAGCAAAAAGTGCGTTCTTCTTACACGCGCGCTTGAGAGCATACAATCCGCAGCCTATTAGGAAACTATTCCGCGTGTATCGGAAAACACGTGCACGCACATCCACCATGCAGCGGTGACACGAGAAGGTCGCTTTCGCTTCTATGTACTCCCAATGTCGCGTCCCCTCGTTCCCCAGACCTATACGCCACCAACTCTCTGGAGCAAAGGAATGTTTCTTCATCTGCATGCCTACAGTATCACGTACAGGTACTTACTTTACCTATATATATATACGCGCTCGCGGATGTTCCCTTTGTTTTTCTTTATTTGTCCCTCGGCAGAGCACATGACGCGGAATAGGATCGACAATGCAACTAGACCGGCATTGCAAATACATAATTGCACAAATTTATTTTGGTAGGTTTATTTACCCACTGGTAATAAAAGCTTGCATGCTCTATGTGTGTAAGATCTTAATTCACGACCAACCATATTTGAAGAAAAAAATTTAATTCTTGTTTTAGATAATTGCATTAAATAACTCTTTTTTCACGGGGGATTTCATGCTTCGGGCTTTTTTCGGATGTACATTAAGAAAAAATATATATTTGTTATAACACAAACTCAAAATTGAAAATATTTGTGGTATTTCATTGATGAGTGAAAATCAAGAAATTTGGAACTATTCTTCTAACGGATAAACGACATTGTCTGTTTTTACGCGGATGATTAGACTTACCAGGTGTACATAGATTCCTAACACTCTTCTTAGTTGCTACCAATTTACCTTTAATTTTCTGAGGTTACAATTTTTTTGTAACGTTTTTAAAATACTAAAACTAATTTCATATCACATTTTGCAAACTTTACGTATACTTGTGCACTTTCGTTAATTTCAATGACTCTTGAGGTATTTACTTTCACTCTCCTTTGTGAG